CTGAAGAGATGTTTGCTTTTGCTTAGCCATGGAATGAGAAATCTATTTCTCACCAAAAGACCATCCTTCCCTGGAGGCTGATAAGACTTACTAAATACTAAAAAATAATAGCTACTGATATTAAAGGCCAACCTTGTTTTCATGATCATAGAATACAAGTTGCCTCACGGCAGCCCCAGAATTAAAATTCAAGTATGATTCCAACGCTACAGACAAAAAATCTGAATTTCAGGATTGTTATCTTGCACCATATCATCCGATTAATAACATGATGGACCTGAGACTTGCATACAAGGAGTCCTTGCAGAAGACTCCAGAAACAGTTTTCTCATCTTTTATTAAGAATTTCCTTTTCTCTCAGTGGTTTCACTTCAGCACTGTAAAAAAAACAATAACAATTATGTATGGTCATTTATGGCCACATAGAAGTGTCTGTTGAAATGTTGCTGAAAATAATCAGCAGAAAATGTATGTGTTTAGATAATAGTTTACTATCCCAATTTCCTCCCTTTGTATCTCAGAAAAATACCCAATGCAATGGATTGAATATTTGTGTCCCCTCAAAATTAATGTGTTGAGATCCCACCCTGCAATGTAGTGGAATTAGGAAGTGTGGCTTTTGGTGGGTGATAAGGTCTTGGGGGCTGAGCTCTAATGAATGGATCCTTATAAAAGGACCCCTCCTTTCTCTTTCCACAATATGAAGATAGAACGGGAGCTTGGCAGAGTGCAATAAAGACTCAGACCTCACCAGTAATGGAATCTGCTGGCACCTTGATCTCAGACTTCCAGAATTTGAGAAAACATTTCTATTATTTATAAACCACCCAGACTATGGTTTTCTGTTATAGCATCTTAAATTGAATAGGGCACCCATGAAAGTTAAACAACACCTTCCAATTCAGTAATACTAGAAACAAACATTCTCCATATTATAATTTATACTGAGTTAAAATGGGCTGATATTAAATAAATATATGCTGAAATATTACGTTGAGAATGGTTAGGGGAAGAGGTGTTGCAGGAATGGGGTATAGCAGGGGTGGTTACTTGTACATCTGGTCTTCGAGGAGGATCTAATCACTGCTTCACTTAAAGGATATATCTTCTAACACACCTTAACTGTACCTTTCAATTTGTACAGAGCAATGCTAGTCAGTAATTGTGACATTCTATATATATATGTATATATATATGTACTTATATATACACATATATGTTTTTTGCTGAAACCATCACTAATATTTATTTCAGAAAGAAAGGATTTTCCTAGCATGGCAGTGAATTATGCCATTAGTTCAAGGAAAAAATACCATGTTTCATATCAAAACTGACCTTGAGTAGAGATGTCCTATTCCAAATACTGAGGTAAAATTAAAATAGAATAACATTTACTGAAATGAACAATGGATTACAAAATAGAAGAGAAAGAAAGCTGTGTATTGAAGATGATGAGTACTTTTCTAGTTTTGAGATAAGATTTACTATCAGAATTAATAAGAAAAAGTTGAGATCACTCTGTCATCATTAAAATTCATCAGTATATTTATTTAACAGGAGCAGACATTTTTGAAAAACATGTAAAGATGATACATTGAGATATATGCCCAGAGGATAGTTTTAGCTATTAATACATCAAACATTTTTTCTATCTCACTTAACTGTCTTCTGTTTCTGTGGCTCCTTTTGGATGTACATCTAGGTAATGAGGAATGTGTTTGATCATAAAAAATCAAACAGAAAAAATAATAGCAGAATTTAAATTCATATCAGAATTACAGTTGACATTTCAGGAAAGTGGATAAAAGATCTTGACTTCTTGTGAAAAAGAAAAACAAAGGCATTTTTTCCCCTCAAATTTGTTGAAAACATTGGCTTACACATCCAAGTATTTAATTTCTAGTAAGGTTAAAAACAACAACAGCAGTAAAGAAAACCAAACTTAAATATATAATGTCTAACTCAATGACTAGTATATAGCCAAACACAAAGAAAATAGACTCAGTAGGTAAGAACAAAACCACAAAAAGACAAGGGTAAACATATATGCAAGATATTAACTGTTGGAAAGATAATAGATTATTTTTAATTTATTTTATTTTTTAAATAGTTGAGTTTTTTAAATTTATTTTATTTTTTAAATAGTTGAGTTTTTATTCTAAATTTTTTCTTAACGTTTATTTATTTTTTGAGAGACAGAGACAGAGCGTGAGCAGGGGAGGGGAAGAAACAGAATCCAAAGCAGGCTCCAGGCTCTGAGGTGTCAGCACAGAGCTCAACATGGGGCTCAGACTCACAATGGCAAGATCATGACCAGAGCCGAAATCAGAGGCTCAGCGGACTGAGCCACCCAGGTGCCCCTAGAGAGTTTATTCTAGTAGCTACAGTTACAGTGCTTGTTTCCTGAAATGAAAACTGAAAACAGGTATACAAAACAGTTGATGACTAAATGTGTGCAGAAAGCAGTTAACAGTTTCCTGACAGGAAATAAACCAGTTCTGAGGATTTCCCCAAGACAAAGTTCAACAGCTCCAGATTCTTCAGTGTTTATCAAAATACAAAAGAAAATATAGAGGTCGTCATTTTCGATGACAAATTTGATTCCTTGCAGGTGAGGGAGGGAGTGAAAGCACAGGTCACGGGGTGGGGGGGCGGGGGGTCGGCCAGAGCTCTTAGCGCCAAGGCTTTATGACGACCACACTGTTCCATTCTGCGTGGTCATGAAAGGGTGCCTGTGATTCCCCCTGTCTCTGGTCGTCTTGCATCCTCTAGTGTTTGTGCTTGTACTTGAGCATTCACAGGTGCGCTGGAGAAGGGCTGGGGGCTGTGGCCACTGCTCATGGACTCCTCGGAGGGACTCTGGCTCTCCCTTGGGTCAGCATGAGTACTTTGGCTTACTCAGGGATGCCTGGGTCTCACAAGCAGGATAGTAGAAGGGTATGCCAGTTATCCTGGGCAATTTTTACAAAGCTAGCTGATGAGTCTATAACACTTAATATGCCTGTATATATTTGTTTTTGCTTGTAATGTCTGCATTTTGTGGAAAATTGTCATTTGTTTGCTACAACAGAATGCTGGACTATAGGAAAAGTGGTTGAATATGAAAAACGTAGTCAAATTAGTAGTTATTTTTTGTCTTGACTCTAACATCTTTATCCATGAAGATATGTTTAGTTGAGTAACAAAAGACACAAACAGAAATGGCTTAACCAACGTGCCAAGTTATTATCTGATAGATTTTGAGTCATTCCACTATTAGATCATTTCACATCTCCAATATCAGCAAATCCTAAATTCTTTTTTTTTCACTCTGACTTTATTAAGCTCTGTCTTAGCTCAGGCTATCATAATAAAATACCATAGGCTATGTGGCTTAAAAAAACAACACTTATTTCTGGGGTCTCTGGGGGTCTCAGTCAGCTTAGTTACCTACTTCATCTTAGTTCATGATTTCACCGTATGTGGGCTCAAGCCCTGTGTCAGGCTCTGATAGCTTGGAACCTGGAGCCTGCTGTGAATTGTGTCTCCCTCTCTCTATGCCCTTCCCCCGCTTGTGCTCTGTCTCTCTCTCTCAAAAAATAAACATTAAAAACGAATTAAAATTTTTTATTTTTCAAAGCACCAGAAACTGGGAAGTCCAAAATGCCAGCTGATTCAGTTCCTGATGAGAGTTCTCTTCCTGGCCAGCAAATGTCTACCTCCTCAATATGTCCACACACAACTTTTCCTCAGTGTAAGACAGTGGAGAGAGAGAGAACTAGTGCTGGGTTCTTCCTTTTCTTATGAGGATACAAATCTCATTAAGGAGCCCCACCTTTCACATTTAAACTGAATTAATCTCCCAAAGTGCCTACATCCAAATACCATCACACTCATGGGTAGGGCTTCAACAAGTGTTGGGAGATAACATTCTGTCCATAATAAAACTACTACTTCTCAATGTCTGCCATTAATTTCTGGCTTTAAGAGCATATATAACATTGTCAAGTAGAAGTAAAAGAAACTTTTCTACATTAGCATCTCTCTCCCTTTTTCAATGCTTATTTATTTTGAAAGAGAGAGAGAGTACACAAGCAGAAGAAGGGACAGATAGAAAGGGAGAGAAAGAGAGAGAATCCCAAACCGGGTTCGAAGCAGGGCTTAAACTCATGAAATGTGAGAAAATGACCTGAGTGGAAATCAAGTGCTGGACACTTAACCACTCAGCCACTCAGGCTCCCCTTAGCATCTCTTTTTATCAGAGAAACCCTTACTCAGATGTCCTTCATATAATTTCCCTTGTTAGCCAGTATTTTGCCACATCTTTTTCTGTAAACTTTCAACCAGTGTAGCTAGAGGAATTACCATGATTGATTTAGGTAAATCAAGATTCACTACCTTGGTTTGCTCATGTTTCTCTGAATCACAGCTTAATCGGATTTATATTACTAAGGGATATGGTAGGGGAAATGGATATTTTTAGCTACGTAAGAGTGCCTAACATAGTCGTTGAATGCTTGAATAACTTTGAGAAGTCACTTAATTCTTCTCTGCCTCAATTTACAAATTAATCATGAGTTGTATTAATTATCTGTTGACACATGAAAAGTATCCCAAAATTCAGTAGCTTAAAACAATAAACATCCAGATTCTCACAGTTTCTGAAAGTCATATGGTGATGGTGGTTCAGAATCTCATGAGGTGGAAATCTATCCATGCCATGAGCTAACTTCTGTCAACTGGAGACTCTGCTCAGCTGATTGATGTGGTTTTCAACTGGAGATGTCAAGTTCTTACCATGAAGACCCACCAAGAATGATATATATTTTATTCATGAAAGCTTTACCAACTTCCTTCAAATAATGCCATAAAAATGCAAATTTTATCTGGAGCTGAAGATAACATTTTCCTGAAGCGAAAGTATTCATAAAAGAATCTCTCACAAATTATGTGTCTGCAAAGAATTGACATATCTGATCCTTGACAGAATATTCGGGCTTGAAAACATTACTTACCATTTGGATGCGTTTCTCCTTACTCTCTCCCATCTTCTCCCCCAGGATTTCCAAAATACGTATACTAATTTCATTTCAAATTGACTGAAGACACAAAATTTGCATTCAGCAAATACATTCAGAATTCACTAGAAAATATATATTTTCATGAAAAAAGGAACAGGAAAGGGAAAAAAAGGCGTACCCATCCTTAGGATCTATGGTAAGAATAAATTATTCCCTCTTCTTGTTCAGATAAGTGTTTAGATTTATAGCACCAATAAATATTTTACAAAGGTTTAGACATTGCTAAAACAGTAGAAGCCTTTCCAGAGAGAGCAAAGTATTTATGTTATTTGGCTATTACCATTAGATATCATGACTCTATGTTCCCTTAATAGAAAAAGAGTCAATCAGCTAGCTATAGTTTAGGTCCAATGACTAGAAAGTAGTATTCCTTTCAAAATTCCAGTGGGTTAATTTGATATATCTGCATTTTGGTTCATATATAGTCATACTGAAATTGCAGGTTCAGAAAAATTCAAATTAAGGAGGTTTTCCTTTATAAACAATTTATTTATTAATATTCATACAGGAATGTCTCATAGACAATTGTATTTTCTGTCTGCACTGCTAATTTCTGAATTTAGTAATTTTTTATAAGCCTTTTAATTATTCAAGTCAGATAAAAATAGACGTTATCTTTACAAAACTTGTATGTAATTTTTGTAACATTTCCTCAGTGAGATCATTACCTATGTCAATATTGTGTAATGATTGAATCTAATACAACTTAGGAAAAGTAAAACTTAGTTTTTGTCTTAATAATCACTAACTTTGTCAATGATATCACCTAAGTAGTTATTTTGCCCCATTTTCTTGTAAGAGAAATGGCCTTATAAATGAGAATATTTTTGAACACAGTGTTTTTATGATCAGTGTTTATTTTACTCAATATAGCTATTATTATAATGTAATAAAGCTATTATGATACAATAGCTTTATTTCACACATTATGCCTATTAAAACTGTATAATACTTTTGCTAATATATCTCACTAGGCTCAGATAATATTTTAGATGATAAGCAATATTAATAAGATTTCTCAATTTACATATACATGGTTCAAACTATTAGGAAAATTAGTGAACTTTTTGACATTCATCAATAAGTTTTGTTTAGTGTCACTGTGCATCATTTCTGTTCTTCGAGGGAGAGAGACACTCTTGGGGTTATTAATATAGTATATTCTGTGAAATAAATTAACATATATATGTTACACTACATAGCACATTTCTCCAGTTTCTAATCGAGACTTTTATAAAAATAAATGGAATCATTATGTGCTTTTGAAACATATTAAGATTTTTGGTAACATTTAGAGATTTGTTAATTTAATTTCATTCTATTTAGGCTGTTTAAACTACTTTATATTCCCTGGATAAACAGAGGAAAAGAGTTTCTTTTTTTTTTTCTTTCTAAGGAAAGAAAATAAAACTATTTCACATTTGAGAGCTTGTGCTGCTGACCACCATATGATAATTGGGATTGGCATATCCTGTCTCCTTTAAATAGTCAATAAAATATACAACAAATGGTTTTAAATACTAGAACTGAACAAGAAGCACAGGAAACTGTTACATGAAAGAAGAGAAATGAAGTAGGTGAGCTCTCAACTGGTACAGGTGATGCATGGAGAAAATTTCCATATTATGAAAAACAATGAATGGGGAATCTCAAACAGAGTTTGGCAGGCTAGCTGAGTTGAGGAGATGGAAGTCATTGAAGCTTAGATGGGAAATTATTTTTTGATGAGAAGCTCAGGAGCTCAGGATTTAGAGGGCACAATAGTGGAGAGTAAGAGGCTACCACAAGAGAGAAAACTCAGGAGATCTGTGTAACTGTCCCCTGAGTCCTGAGCAGACTTCTGAACTATGCATGGATGGGAAAAATTTAACCTCAGCCAGGGAAGAAACCACAGAAGATAAATAAGCAGGATAACCCTGAAAACTCACACAACTTGGTGACTAGTTCATGCTACAGTCAGCCAGATGGAAAAACCTAAAACACGTGATGCCTCATAGAATGTACAAAGTGGTTTGGTTTTACTACTGGTATAGAATCAGGCTCCAACTAAATACTGCTCTGGAACTTCCCTAACAAAGCGTAAAAAGAGATCTCTAAAGAATCAAATGGATTAAAAGTAAACTAACTATAGTTAATAAGATCCAATGATGTTTTCAGAAATATAACAAAATTTAGCATCAACCAAAGTAAAATTTACAATGTATGGCATCTAATAAAAAGTAACCAGTCATCCAAAGAAGCAACAAAATAGACCCATAACCATGATTAAAATCAATCAGCAGAAACTGACATAGAAAAAGCCCAGATAGTAGAAATGACAGACACAGATACAATAAACCTATTGTAAGTATGGCCCAGATGTTTAAAAAAATAAAAGAAAACATATATGAACAGAAGAAAAGTACTATAGTAGTGAAAAATACAATATCTCAAATGAAAAATACACTGAATGGGAATAGCAGCAGATTAAACACACAGAAGAAAAGATTAAAGGATAGTAGAAAAGAACCCGGCCAAATAAATCACAGGGATGTAATAAACTACAAACAAGAAAAGGGAAAAGTGAGCAGAACAGCAATGAGCTGTGTGTTAGCATCACCATAATTATAATCCCAGAAGATAAGGGGAGAGGAGAGAGGAAAAGCTATTTGAATTGATAATGGCTATATTGCTTGAAGAAAAATTGATATATTTCTGGTAAAAACCCACTTAGTTAACTCACTTAGTTAGTTTCACACTGCTACTGTAACAAAGTATCATGAACCCAGTGGCTTAAAATGATATAAATTTGTTATCTACAATTTTCAGGGATCTGAAATCTGATGTGGGGCTGTGCCTAATATCATGGTATCAGAAGTATCACACTCCTTTCTGGAGGCTGTAGGGGAAAATCACTTTTCTGGTCTTTTCCACCTTCTAAAAGTTACCTGCATTCCTTGGCTGGTGGTCCCTTTCAGCTTGAAAGCCAGCGATGTTCAGTCCAGTCTTTTCTACCCTGCATCACCCTGACACTGACTTTTCTGTTTCCAGCTTCCACTTTTAAGAACCATTCTAAGTACTGTCAAAAATCCAGAAGTAGCAAATGTTAAACCACCAAATTAATAAATACCACTTAGTAAGAATTTATTTTGCATATAAGAACATTCTTCAAAATGGCAGCTTTCAAAAGATAAAAACTGTTATGAAGCTCAGAGACATGAATTTACAGGATGGCTTAAAAAGTGAAAATGAGAAAGTTGCTTGATCACTACATGGTTGATTATTCCAGTGGGGATTCCCAGATGCCAGGGGATTGGTCAAAAGTGATTATTTTATACCATTTGTAGGAAAATGACAAGTTTCTTTTACGATTATCAGAGGTATTTATAAGAAATAACCTTATGAAACTAAGTAAAGTTTTATAAAATAAGCTTGTGTTTATAAAATAAGCTAGATTTATTTTTGCTTAAATCATTTTGTCTGCCTGGAGAATTCTCAAGTCCAATCTCCATTTCATAGTTAATTTAACATTACATTGGGCCCTCCTGGATTATCTCTGGTAATCTCCCTCTGTTAAAGTTAGATTATTAGCAAACTTAATTCCATCTTCAACCTTAATTCCTCTTTTGCATGTAACATAACATATTAATATTTTCTGTGGATTTGGACTTGGACATCTCGGGAGCCCATTATTCAACCAATCACAGGTATAGATTCAATACATTTAACATACCTCAGGCAGAAGGAACATGAAGAAAACCACATGAAGATACACCATAATCAAATTAATAAAATCAGAGGGAAAAAAACCCAGAACTAATATATATATTCAGCTGACAGTGGATCAGAAGACAACCAAAATCCCTGACTTCCAGAGAAGGAGATGTACTCTTCACATTTGCCAAGGTAAGGGAGAAAGTAGCAAGCAGCCATCTTACAAGCAAATTGGAAAATATCAATAAAAATATTAAAGGCCATGTTAATGCCAAGGTTCAGTTGCCATGAGAATCAGCAAAAACCTTGGGTACCAAGTACAAGATGAGGATCCCAAACAGTCACACAGCTCTTTTCTTGGGATTCATGAAAAACACAGTAGTTAGTGCAGGAGTCCATGGAGACCCTCCCTCAATGACACAAATGTTCACCTCAGTAGGTGATTGGCTGTTGCTAGGAAACGAGCACAAAGCCTCACACATATAATTGTGACCTTTTCTCCTAAGAAGTAAAATTCTTAAACTGTGGTGGAAGAAGCTGCAAATTGTCTTTCAGAACTCGGAAGAGAGGGGAAAAAATCAATTTATCCTAGAAGATGGGTAAAACAAAGCTGGTTAATTTTTTATAGAAGGGCAACTCTCTGGCACACAGGGTAAAATCAAACTTCTCTTGAAGCTTGGAGGAAGAAAGAAAATAAAATGTTTATTCTGGGGAAGAGACAGCAAAGGATCTTAGGCAAAACATCCTATACCTAAACCAGACAGGGGTCTTCTATTACTATAAGAGGAACAGGAATCTCTTGCCCAGGATCAAATAGAAACACAATAGTTTGACTACCATGGACTGGAGGAAGGGGAGGAGTATAAATATTGCCAGGAAGGAATTTGGACTCTACCTAAGATTGTAGCTGTACCATGACAACAGAGAATGCTCCGGCCCTTACCACAAGTTTTGCGTCAAGTAATCAACAACAGTTATCTACACCTGGAGGAGGGCCAACTGCATGAAGAGCAGCTCCATGTATGGAATCAGTGAGCAGTAACAGCTGAAAGCCAAAGCAGCCAAACTAAACGGAGAGTTAACCTCAGGACCCCAGTCCCCACTCTAAAGACAAGGAAATAAATAGCTAATAGATGGCATTGGAATATATGCTGCACTGAAGGTAATGATAGCAACAACACAATATAAACCCAACTCAGAGGCACCTGGGTGGTTCAGTTTGTTAAGCATCCAACTCTTGATTTCGGCTCAGGTCATGATCTCACAGTTTGTGGGATCAAGTCCCACATCAGGCTCTGTACCGACCACACAAAATCTGCTTGGGATTCTCTCTCTCTCCTCTCTGCTCCTTCCCCCACTTGCACTCTCTCTCAAAATAAATAAGCATTAAAAAAAAAAAAGCTCAGCGTCTGATTATATTGACTCAACCATCACCAAAACAACCTGATAGGAACACTCATATCCATGTATAAAGATTATGTACCTAAACTGGGGTCCCAAATGTAAAATGGTAAATACGATGTTAAAGAAGTATATTGTAAGCACCAGGACAACCAATATAGGTGATATACTTGTTAATCATTTAAAAACAAGCATTTATAATATATACCTACAAATAAAAATGTGTTATAAGATTAAATCTATTTGTAATAAAGAAATGGTTAAGAACTCATATATTTTATGAAGTTACCCTCTATGGGAATTACCCTCTTGGTCTAGAATTTTTAAGTTTTCTCTAAATTAGATTTTATTATTATAGAATACAATTCAACTCACTTGTTCCTACTGGCAAACGAAAATATGTATATTTACATAACATTAACCATAAAAATAACTACTTATAAAGTTATTCATGTTATCATTGTTATAGATTTTGATTATTTAAATATTTGATTAGAACCCGGATTTTGGAATCACTACTTACACATTTTTTTGATTTCAATACTTAAAAACCAAAAATAATATAAAAACACTTATATTTGTTGAGCAATCAATCATTTTGAGTTGGAAACCTAGCTACTTGAAAAACACAGTACAGTTACATTCATTTTTTGTCCTTAAGATAATCTAGTTAAACTTTAAAGACACGTTCTTTTTATTAATGGAAATGAGGCAGACAACCTTTTGACTAGAGAGCTTGACAAAGGGCAAAATGGCTAGGCTTTATGGAAATCAAGTCTTAAAATTAAATTCAAACAACACAGAAAAAGAAGAGTCATTCGGCACCAATATTCAGATATATGAATAGCAAGGTGGGGCACTCAAAACATTTTAAATTGTCTCATTTAATTCGTCATGACCTTAATGCTATCACTGCTCTTTTCAAATGGGCCATGTTATAAACATTTCAAGAGCTGAGAGTCCATGGATTTCTGCTTATTATTAGATAAAAATTGCACAAATTATCCAGTCTGTCTATTTTCATCTAATTGGGACAGATCAGGTGTAAACAGTTCTACTAATACCCTGTAGACAGAGCATCTCTGAAGATAAACTGAATTAATTTTCTCATTGTTTAATAAAAATATGTTTACAAAGGTCAGTTTCATAGACATATAGAAATAAGAATGCAGGACCAATTATTTTTACACGTTGTGAAAAGTGAAAGCAGAAAAGAGAAATGTTGACTCTTATTACTTGTAAACTATTCTTCTAGATCACATAATCGTAAATATTTCAATTAAAAATAAATTATCCATCATAATTAGGAAGGCTTGTTTGTTCTTAAGATGGCAAATTCCAATGATTCTGTAAGTACATAACTTACATAACTTTAGTTTCTTAACTAACCAAGCCTAAAAGTCAGTGACTAATATAATTAAAGTTCATTTTTCCTCATGCAAAAGTATAATGTGTTGTTCTTGATTTGCTTGTGGCATTTTACATGGTCACTCAGTGACCCTGGGGCTTTGCTATTCCCTCCAACTGGGGCTTTGTTATCACCTGGAATTTCAGAGCCCTCTGCTAAGGCTAGACACATTGCATTGGCCAAAAGATAAGGCAATGGAACATGGCAGAAATTACAGATGGTTTGTATGTGCCATGCTCCAGCAAAGGGTACATTCACATTTTATAGCCCAAAACTTAGCAAAGTAGGCTTGCAAATGTAATAGCAAAGTGTCTATGTGTCTGGAAAAGAAAGTGGAAAGAGATCTTGTGAGCACTTAGTAGTCTGGGTGACATATTACAGTAATTTCTTTCTTTTATTTTTTTAAAATGTTTTTTATTTATTTCTGAGAGAGAGAGACAGCATGAGCAGGGGAGGGTCAGAGAGAGAGGGAGATACAGTTCTGAAGCAGGATCTAGGCTCTGAGCTAGCTGTCAGCACAGAGCCGACACGGGGCTGGAACCCACGAACTGTGAGATCATGACCTGAGCCAAAGTCGGATGCTTAACCTACTGAGCCACCCAGGCGCCCCAGTAATTTCTGATCTTAAATAGAGTTTACTGAATCTACTTCCTATCTTGTTACATCAGTTTCCAGGAATGATTAATTCATTAGTTTGACATAAGTAACTCAACAAATACTTATTAAGTGACTTCTAGTACTCGGGATGCTTATCAACTCTCCTGTGAATATAGAGTAATGAGCCACCTGGTTTGCTTGACACTGATGAGATTTCTTGAGACTTTCAGTGCTAAAATAGAAATGATCATAGGCCAACCAAGAAGGTGAATGTTCTAAAAAACAAATATTAGTTAAATTATCATTAAAGACAGATACCACAATTTCTGCTAGTATTCATGCTTTTACTGTAAAATGTTAGATGATGTAGATAAAATGGAAATCTGCATGTAGCGAACTGTTAATGTTTTGGCACATAATTGCATAGTCACTCTGCATATATGGATTCATGAAACACAATCTAGTTTTCCATCTAATACTTTTACCTGTAGAATTTGATCGTACTTAAAATACAATTAGGTATGTGTCACTAACATTATCTTAATGGCTTCATAGCATCTTAGAGAATGAATGTATAGTTATTTATTTTATTAGCCTTTTATTGTCAGACATTGATTTCAGTTTTTGACGGCTACAAACACTGATTGAACCACTATGTTGGTATATAAATTTTAGACATCTTGTCAAACACACTACAGTGAGTTATCATGTGGCATATATTCCACATGTAGCTTTTATTGGGAGAAGCTTATAGTGTCAGGAGCAGCAGTGGTAACACATATGCCCTTGCGTTCTGAGTAACCTCAGGTTGTCAGGTTTTCAATCCACTTGATTAAGGCAGCTCCAGTTACTCAGGGGCTTTAATATATCAGGGGCTAGGGTCCTTGGCTAGGAACTGCCACTCTATGGTATGTTAGACCCTCAGTCTCCAATCCTGCTAGACCACCCAATAGTCTATAAAAATGCTTGACAATCAATAGAGCCTAAATGTTGTGGGTTTCAGGTCCTGACTGATCTCATGAGGGAGGGTAATAAACTGTGCTCTGAGATGCTAGCTTAGCAGATCAGTCTCAGAAAAGTTCATCTTTTTATCTCCTTTACACATGAGTCAGTGCTTAAATGCACCACTAGCACTACACAATGCATATATAAAATGGGTTTATTTGAAGAAAATATTACTAGTAATAAATCGGTAGAGCACACAAACTCCCACATTTTCATAATGCTATAGGTGACCTGTAGGGACAAGGTCTAGTAAGTATTCCAACTGCGAGAGACTCTGCTCCATAATAATCTACATGAATGTACTGAGGGGAGAAGAAAATATTTGAAATCATAGTAATGGAAGTCCTTGTTCCAAGGAGTAACCTCATGAGTAACAAGCATTCTCCTGAGCTCAGAAACTGGAAACAGCCTCATCTTCTCTTGATTCTCCTCAAACCTGCTGAACCATTTCTCTAATAAGCTACTAAAAAGGGACTAAAAATGAACAACCATAATTATCTTGATTGTCTCTCCTCCCTCTCAAGATGTCGAATAATTTAAATAACATCACAATGTCATTGATTAAATGATAAAACATGTCCTTAAAATACTTTGCATGTAAGACCTTTTTTGGAGATATTTTGTCACCTTTTATAATCTTAACTGCACTTGTTAAAGAGAAAGGAATTTGACTCTCATGATGTATTTGCAATGATTAGACAGGCTGAAGGGTTTGGAAAAAGTCACTTTATTAACAGTTTTCTCAATCCCAACAAGAATACAGTTGGGGAGGTGATAAATGATGAGTCTCTAGAGCCATAATGATTTTAAAAAACAATTATTATGTTCTTGCAAAACCGTTAAGAAAAAGTAAAGGAGCTGTGTGCTGAGAGAACCTGAGAGAATGAAGGCTTTCTAATTCATGATGTCAGCCACTTCCTCTGCTACTAGCACTC